CACACATGCCATGAACCCAGCACTGGGGAAGTGGACACAGGTGGATCGCTGGGGCTCACTGGTCAGCCAGAGACCTCTTCACACAAGGGGGAGGGGGAGCGCAACCGACCCAGACCATAAACTTTGTCGTCGTCTCAGACATGATGGGTGTCTGCAGTCTGAATTCAGTGTGGTATGTGCAGTTAATGAAGACACACGTGTTTATGTTTAGTGAGTGCTGTGGGTGCATTTTAAATCTCTGTTAAAAATGCTCTTCCCCGTATTATAGCATCCCTCTGTGTCCTTCTTAACTGATTGTAGGAAAGCATTTATTTCCATAGTGGGAATGGAGCATGCCAGCTGTCTGTATAAATAGCCGGCTCATTCCGTGTCTCTGAACACAGCTAATTGATCCTGTCTGTTTAGCTGTCATGGTGCTGAGCCTGAGCTTCAGGTGTTAATCGTGTGAGCTCACGAGGCTTGAGCTCACAGTGGACGTGTCCTCAAAGGGAAGGCTCCGAAAGCACAATCAGACGTGGTAGTGGAAGGGTCCGGTGCATGGCTGTCTAAACTAACCTCTTTTAAACTGTAAGTGCATGGAGCAGATCAGAGGGGAGGGGCAATGCCAGTGTGTTTCCAAAACCAGTTCAGTGGTTATTTACCTTTCAAGCAATTAACGTAATTGCCATTGTGCTGAGAAGTAATTGGGGAAGTTCTGCCCTGAGCTCTTACGGCCCCACCGGGACAGTTTTAGTTGGGACTTATTTTTTTGATGGAAGCCTAATTGCAGTTTTGGCTTTGTGCACACAAACAGAAGCAGCTAATTGTTTAGGCAAATAGCAGATTAATTTAAATATGCATCCCTAATAAAACAAAAATGGTATCCATTATGGTCCTTGTTCCCATGCCGAGGAATATAAATATTGTGCGCAAGCACCATTAGGCGGAGTTCTTAAGGACTGTCGTTGCGATTGCACAGTGGTAACACTTCCCAGATACGAGCAATCTTTACAAAAGCTAGCATAAATCAGCTTAGACTCATTTAGATCCCATTTCTACTATGTGCAGTTTCATTACCACACTCTGCTGGCCTCCTTTGGGAGGTGGAGGGACGTGCCGCACACTGGCATGGGTGCCCATCCACAGCTGCTCAGCAGCCTTTATGTCTCCTCCAAAGCCTGGCCCTCGTCACTCATGTCACTGCTAATGACTTCCTGGTCTAGGGAAAGTGCTGAGTGCCTCTAGCCTGGCTGCTCATCAAGGTGGAGGGCACTGAGCAGCAAGCCAGCAGTGCTGCCATGCCCCGCCCCGCCTGCCTAGGGGACTTTGGCCTTCACTCACTGTCTTCTCTCAGATGAGCGTTGGAAGACACAGTGTCTTTCTTTGTCTGCACCCTTTTTGAATTTCTGCCGTGTAAACCAGCTTTGCTGTTGCCCCAGCACTACCTGGAGCTCAGCATGTCTGCAGGTGTGAAAGGTGCCGGGGATGGTTGCCTGCTTCCTTTGTGACACTCTTGTGGGGCCTGGGCTCCGCCTCTCAGAGCTTGGGGCTGCTGCAGGAAATGGTGACACTTTCATAAGTCACCAGGTAGCTGCCAGGAACCTACTCTTGCGATTGCTGAGTGATTTTCTTGTTTTACCTTAGCAGGGGGGGAAGTGGAGGGCAACTTCTCCAAGCTTCCACACTCATAAGATCTATTCCAAACCAGGAGGCCGTAGGCAGGCTGGCTCTACTTGAGTGATCAGACCAGGGTTGAGACCTGTTCGTGGCCCAGGGTTCACATTTTGCTCCATGCTTGGAGTAGAAGCCCTTGTTGGATGGAGCTGGCTCCCGTAGAGAAAGCTGGATTGTGGAGACAGAGAGGAGGAAACGGTTGTAGAGATGAGAGTTGAGAGCTGTGGCATGTACAAGTGGCCTCATCCTCAGTATTGTCTGGGTTGCTGGTTCTGATCCCTTGTCAACTTGTCCTGGTGAGCATGGACTAACTCAACTCAGTGCCCAGAAAGATGAGCTGCCAGGGTGTGTGTGTGGGGGTGGGTAAGTGGGGGGGTATGTGTGTGTGGGTGTGTGTGTGTGTGTGGTGTGTGAGTATGTGGTGTGGGGGGGGTGTGCATGTATGTGTGTGTGTGGTATGTGTGAAAGGGTGTGTGGTGTGTGTGTGGTGTGAACTGAACATAGTTTATAGCTTCCTTTCTGTTGCTGGGATAAACCCTGACCGGAACTTAGGGAAGAGGAAAGAGTTTATTTGGGTTACACTTCCCAGTCCCAGTCCATCACTGAAGAAGGGTAGGGCAGGAGCTGAAGCAGAGACTGTGGAGGATGCTGCTTGCTTGCTTGCTCGCTCGCCTACCCCTCACCTCCCAGAGGCACGTGGCTGGGAGTGGTGCCTCTTGTTATGTCAATTAGCAATCAAAACCGCCCCCCATCGTGCAGCCCCTGAGTTGGTACTCACTTCTCAGGTGACTCTAGGCTGCATCAAGTTGACAGTTACGTCTTCAGAGGCCCACGAGTGAGATGCTTTGTAGATGCCACCAGAATTCTGCTGCATGCAGTCAGGGATTTCTGTTTTAAAACCGTCCTAGCACAACTCCTGATGCAGCCCGGGGAGGGGCACAGAAAGCCCTGGCTCAGTGTGACTTTATTGGCTTTGCTTTTCTTCTAACCCCTGCTGTGCATGGGCGTTATCATAGCGGAGGGTTCACTTTTCAAGCCTCTGCAGTTCTCAGGTTGAGAAGTACTGGGTGGAACTGTGTTTAGTCAGGTGTCTGTCCATCCCTTCCCTCGGCTCTCCCCTCCTTTAGAGATGCGGGGAGTGGGAGGACCTTGTGCACACTGAGGGACTGCTCTGTCACAGAGCTGCCCAGTGGCTTCCCTGTGTTCTAGCCAAAGCCTCTGGGTGTCTAATGTTGTTGAGGGTGGTGTTGGCGATTACACAGGGAAACAGCTCTCTTTCTTGCTTCCATCACGCTCTAAGATACTGGCCCACCTGCTCCTGTAGAGACAAAAGTGTGTGATGGCCATAGTACAGAGATCGGGAGGAGAAAGAGGCTGTGTGGCTGTGAAGTCCTTGTACCTGGTTGGATGAGTAGTGTCACTTGAAGCCCTATGTATGGTGAGCTAAGCGTGGAGAATTTCATATAGTAGGGCAGCAAAGAAATCAAGATGGAAGAAACACATAATCAAAACCCAGATCCATGGAAAGATTATAAAACGGTGTCTGTAAGTAAGTAGTGGAGCTAGAGGGTTGGTGCAGTGGTTAAGACCACTTGCTGTTCTTGCAGAGTCTTTCCGAACACCCACTGGGAAGCTCACAGACACCTGTAACTCCACCTTCAGGTAGCTGTCTGAGGCCTCTGGCCTCATGGGCAGCTCCACTCATGTGACACACATGGACACAAATGCACTTCCATAACTGAAAGCAAGATAGGTCTAAAACTGCAAGTAGTATTGTATTTAGAAAACAAGACCAAATATATACTACCTACAAGAAATCCACTTTATGTGTCTATGTATTTAGAGACAAGTTATTGCTCATCCTGGCCTTGCTGTGTTTCTCAGCCTACTCAAACTGTCAGTCTGCTGCCTCATCCTTCCATAAGCCAAGGCTACAGGTGTGTTCCGCCACTTTAAAATATAGATGGGGGAAGCTAGTTTTAATAAGAATGGAAGCAAAGCCAGGGTGCTGGGTGATTGGCAAGTAACTTCAGAGCAGAGACTTCAACCAGGGACAAAGAGGGGCATTACTTGTGAGAAAGGGACAATTCATTCAAGAGGACACTAAATGCTTGCACACCAGAATTTGTGTTAGGGGACTGCAGTGACGCCAGTGCTTTGACAAGGGTTGGCCAGCCTCGTTGTACACATAGAAATACAACTGAAGGAAGGGGCTGTTAATGGTGGCAGTGTGGCAGGTGCTCGGAGAGAGTGGCCATTCTGGTAGAGGAGCCCTGAGTGTCTGAGGCAGCTTGGAGCGTGATGTTGTGCTGAGCTGTGCTTGCTGTGTGTTTATGTTTACTACATCCACTTAAAGGATACCAGCCAAATCCGCCCTTGCTAAGAATGAAAACGCCGCTGTCTGTAGACAGGCGCCACGTGTGCTCAGGGTGCTCTGTGCTAAACGCTCCCACCCCAGGCAGAACATGGTGACACGTGTTTTAGTCGTCACCGAGCCCGGTCGTCTCACAGTGCTCTCACGGTGGCCCAGCCACTTGGAGCTTCCTCTGTTCCACCTCTGGGGGATGGAGGGTTGGGGGGATGGGGGATGGGGGACTGCTCTTCCAGGACAGAGAGCACAGTGAGAGGGGGCTAGTGATGTGGAGTGCCCAGAGGCTCTGCAGGCGGCATTTCTCACTGTGTGATGCCTCAGAGCAAACTCTGGTAGGGAGGGCAGGATGCTGGTTCTTACTTAATGAGTATGCTTTCTGTAGCGCGTCTCCCTCTGAGGCAGAAGAGAGAGTTTACCAAAGTATATGGCAGGGACCATGTCACGGAGCCTTTTGTGACCTGCCTGTCCTCCATTTGATCATTGTTCTTAGAAAAGTGTACAGCTCATGTTTAAGCCTTTCCCTAGAGTCCTGTCGCTGTTTGTGACTACCAGCTGCGGGCCACCTGAAGGGCTTGCAGCACCTAAGTCTGTGTGAGCAGGATGGTACTTCAGCAAGAGCCTGAATCTGAGGCATTTCCAATGTAGAGCTGAAGTGTGGTGTGCCAGGAAGAAAGAAGACAATGGACTGCGTGATGTCACTGTTGGGAGCTAGGACTGGCTTTATGGACAAGCCACGGAGGGAACCGTCCGCACTGTCTGCGGAGGGCCTCCCATGATCTGCCCAGTAGTCCTGTGTGGTGGGTACTGCTGTCTCCATGTTAGGAGGCTGGTGAGGCGTGGCACACTCAAGTCCTGCAGCTAGGAAGCAGTGCGACAGAGTGAAACAAATGTCATCTCCACATGAAAACTGACTGCGTGCTTATTCCGTGCCTGTGTGTACTGGGTTCACAGTTGCTGTCTGCATTGCTCTTCCTAGGGGTTCTTAACATCTGGGACCTGAGGACCGGGAAGTTCCCTATCCATCGTTTTGAGCATGATGCAAGAATCCAGGCCCTTGCACTCAGCCGGGAAAAGGCCATAGTCGCCACTGCTTCCGCTTTTGATGTTGTGATGATGTACCCTAACGAGGAGGGGCGATGGCGTATAGCTTCGGAATTCGAGGTTCAGAAACTGGTGAGTTCTAGTGTGTGTGTTAGCTTGCATTCTGAGGCTCCCTGGGTCTGATAAAACAGACAGCAATGATGTCTGGGGCTTCTGCTCATAAAACTCCCAACAGCCCACTGAAGTGGGCAATAGAATTTCCTTCATTTCCAAGAAGTCAGGGTGGCTCAGAGTGGTGGGTTGACCTGCCTCTAGTTTCTGAGCTAAGAAGTTGTGACTCACATCCAAGTGTGTGGGGTTGAGGCTAAAGCTTAATGGTAGAACATTTACTTAGTATGATTGAGGCCAGGGTTCCAGCCCTACCGCTCCTAGCCCCACTTCTAAGACAAAACAACACAGCAGTATATGCAAACATGGAGCTGGTTCAGGGCCGGAGTCTGTTCTTACCATGGTCCCAGCCTCCTTCCCTCTAGCACAGCACAGCACAGACTCATCCCAGGAGCCTCAGCTTCATTTCTGGCCTGACACCTAAGTGAACAGCATCGGTGCATTGTAGTCTGGAAGGAATCATTCACCCCACATTGTTGCCTCGTCTAGAACAGCTTTTGAGTGAAGTCAATGGAGGTCAGTGTGGATCAGGAGCTGGGCTGTGGGATGCTCTTGAAGCTGAGCCAGCTCAGAGCTTCACACAGGGCTCTGACAAGTTCAACTGTCTGTGAATCTTCTTCACCAGGCAGAGACTGTTTGGTGGTAAGGCAGTATTTGTCTGTCTGCCGAATTTGGATTTAATTTGAGCACATTTCATTTTGGCATTGGCCAGAGGAGCAGAAGAGCCATCCTTGAACAAGGACTGATGGCGACTTGGAACCAGCTCCTCCCTCCCTGTCCCTGTGGGAATCTTAGGTTTGAATAGCAAGCACCTAGCATCACTGCTTTACCTCTCTGAGCTGCATGCTGCTGCAGATGAGCTCCATGGTGCTCCTACAGGCTTCCTCTAACATGACCTGCCATCCCAGGGCCTACAGAGACACCTGGAGTGCAGGGCTCAGTTGTGCAAGCTGATCACCCCCATGAAGTGTAAATCCTGCCTTGGCAGTAGGTGTCATCCTGGGGCCCACTGGAAGCTTTTGAGGTCTTTTATGCCTTCCAGGGAAGGGCAGCCACTGCCAGTCTGAGCCTCTTGGTCTGCTGGAAATCCAACCAGAAGATGAAGTCAAATGGCTGCCGAAAAGATGTCTGTTTAAAAAAAAAAAAAACCAAAAAACAAACAAACAAACAAAAAAAAAAAAAAAACTAAGAAATGATTTGTCTTTAGTGAGAGGATATGTCAACTCTGAGCATTATTTTCCAGTGCCAAGTTGCCACAGTATTCACTGGGCATCTCTGCACCAGGCACCCCGCCCATGGAGCCGGACCATCTTTGTTCCCTAGCTGTGCTTCCTGAGTAACAGTGGCAATGTTCCCAGGTCTGCAGTCTTAGCTTGGAGCAGCTGGCCTTTGTGATGGACATGAAGCCCAAGATGCTGGGCTGCCTCGGCGCAGTTTGGGCCCAGGATTAGCATAGGCACCGGATGTTTGCTTGTGCTCAGCTCCCCAAGGTGGCCTGCAGGGCTTTTGGCTGCCTCTGGCATATTGTCAGGGTGATGCTGTCCTTTACACCCTGGGTTTTTATAATTCCACAGTGGACTCACCCTCAGCATCCACACTCTGTGACTACTGAGCAGGAGTGCCTGATGCAGACTGCTCTGGGGAGATGTGGGGCATCCTACAGGGAGATCTCCCCCCTGTGCAGTCAGAGAAGACACCCACAAGAGTGTGTTCTGTCTGCACTGGCCTCTCTCCTCAGATGGAACATGGCACAGGGTAACCAGTGCCTGACAGGCAGAGAGGAGAGAGCTAGGAACACAGTTTGAATCCTCTCGTGATACCTTTCTACTTAATCATCTTTTTCAGAATGTTTTTCTTCGTTTGGAACTGGGGGAGTTTTACTTTTTCACTCTCTGGTAAAATAACAAAACAAACAATAGCTCTAGACACTGCTGTGTTCAGGATTTAAAAGATCCAGTGAAACTAACAGCTGGAAATGCCTTTCCATCCCACAGCCTGCTTCCGACCTTGAAGACAGCCATTGTGACCAGACCTACCCACGCCTGAGCCAAGTGCATTAAAGCTGCACCCATCTGCCAGAATTTTGTGGGTAGCCTGCTGGGAATACGCTCCCTTGTGTCACCCCCCCCCCCAGTTCTTCTCCACAGCAATCCCACTGGATCACAGGTTTTCTCCTGTGGTTGTATGGCATTTGCTGTGTGGCTGTGTCATGTCTGCATGGTGACAGACTGCAGGAATCTATAAGCACTGCTAGAGGGACTCCTGGTGAGCTTGGCGCTGTGTTGGTCATTCGGGAGTAGGAGTTGGACTGAATTATGTCCCCTGCTCACCTCCAGCTCTGTAACCTCTAACCTCTGACTTCCCGATCCTCGTGGGGCGACAGGTGCAAAATGATGTCTCCATGGACTTACCTTTGTGGCTTTCCTTCTCAGAGTGCATTGTGCTTCCGCTGTTACAGGTGTCTTTTCATCTGGGCAGGAGCCATGTTCATCCCCTGTAAATGATCCCTGTGCCCAACTGTTTCTGTGAGATGGGCCTCTTCCCTGATGTACAGGGCAAATTCCTTTCTTGACGAGTCAAGATGACTGTGGGTAACTAAACAGCTCCTCTCTTTGCAGGTTGACTACCTGGAAATAGTCCCGAATACTGGAAGGTACCCCGTGGCAATAGCCACAGCTGGGGACCTGGTGTACCTGCTGAAGGCCGAGGACTCAGCCAGAACCCTCCATTATGTCTACGGCCAGCCTGCCACATGTCTGGATGTCTCAGCCACCCAAGCTGCCTTTGGGGTGAAGAGTCTGGGATGGGTGTATGAAGGGAACAAGGTATGGAAGCAGTGGCTCAAACATTAGCAAGAAAGAACATGGATTTAATTTTCTTAAAGTAGCTGGAAAATTAAGCTCATCTTGGTTTGGTTTAGTTACTTGAAATAGGGTCTCTCATGTTCTTGGCTGGCCTTGAACCCGCTATGTAGCCTCCTGCCCCATCTCCTCCCGAGTGCTCAGATTAGCAGTGTGCACCTGGCGCTGTGTTAATACTCTGGATACTCTTTTGTTTTCAACTGGTCAGGGCAGTGTATTAGCATGGCAGAAAAACCCAAGCAAGTAAGTGGAACATGAGATGAAGAGTAGCTCCTTCACTACACATGGTTGATTATTAGTGATTTCCAGAGTCTATGCAGAAGAATCTAGCATACATAGACACATCTGTCGACAAGGGGCAGTTCTTTGCAGACGTGGGGTCATGGTATGTGCCCTATTCTGTGCCTAGCATTTACTCAGCAAGTGTGCCTCAAACAGTGTTTTGTGTCTCATGTCCCAGCTCTGCCCTAGAGTTCCAGTGTGTGATTAGAGCTCGTAGGCTATGTAGCCAATGCTCTCATTAGTGTACATGTATGTAGGCCACTCTCACTGTTTGGGTTACCTTAGAGAACCCTACACCACACACTGCAACTTGCAGAGACCCCTGTGCAGTCTGTCTGTAGGATATGCAATCAACGTGTAGGTGGTCATTGCTAAACCACCTTCTAAGGCAGAGCTGGTGAGATGGCCAAGCAAGTAAAGACGCTTGCTACAGGAGCCTGATGACCCAAGTTCCATCCCTGGAAGGAAAAGAGCCAACTCCACAAAACTATCCTCCGACCTCCACCCATGTAGCATGGCATGTGTCCCATGCACACGTGCACAGTAATGTAATAAAATTAGGAAATAAGATGAAAATTTTGCATCATAGTTTCTATTGTCATTAGCTGCACGAAAGTGCCTGACGATGTGTGTGAGCCAGATGGAAGAAAGTCTTTTTGTTAACTCTTGGGTGACGGCTGTGTTTTATCACTGCAGGTTTTTAGCATCCCGATTGCAGGCCAAGTCCTCAGTCCTACAGCTGGTTTACAGAACTCACCCCTCTCGGGTGGGAATGGGGGAGATGCGTGGATTTCGTTTGACTTTAGGTTCCTTCTGGTTTGCTGCTCTCGACCCCAGTGGCAGTCAGGGTCTCCCTGGGAAGAAACACCCGAGCTGAGTCAAGGGCTCCTTTCCTACACAGCAGTGGTATGAATTGCAGAGGCAGGCTCTGTGCATAAGCTGCCCAGCCCTGTCCCCTATGATCCGGTTGCCTAGACCTCCTTCTGTCTTTCTCTCTTAAAAATTATTAACTTATATTTTATTTGCGTGAGGCATTTATCTCTGTGTATTTCTGTCCACCGCATGCATGCCATGTGCCCTTAGTGGTCAGAGAACTGGAGTTACATGCAGGTGGGTTTGAGCTATCATTGGAGCTGGGACCTGACCCTGGGTCCTCTGCAAGAGCAGCCAGTGCTCTTAGCCGCTGGTGTCAGTCTCTCCAGCCCCGCCTGTTCCCTTTTGTAGATGGTTGCTGCAGTAGCTGTTAAGCTTCAGCTCCGCTGAGGTGTACTTGGTTCACCTTAACCCTGGTGTATTTCCTCTTGTCCGCTGCTCACACTTGGACCCCAGGCTCCAGTGGAGTTTATACTAGTCATTTCCCCATGTATTTGAGCTGTGCCGTCAAGTAGGATTCATAGGGTTCATAGGTGCTGCTGTTTGGGACAGTGTGGTGCTCCAGAACTGAAGCGTCCTGGCTTCCACTTCCACACATAGGAAGTGGCAGCTAAGCCCCTCTGGAAGGCAGCAGTTTGTGCTGGCTCAGCCCCTCCCCCGTTGCCAGCTGGGAAGCCCTTGTCGAGGACGCCAGAGTGACTTCTCCCAGAGGGGGCACCGGCTTCTTCTCTTGTTTCCTTCTCCCCTCTGGAAGGGCTCTGCTTCCCAGAGCAAGGACTTGATTGGTTGTTCAGGTTGTCGGTTTGTCAGTGTAGTTACCTTGATTGTTTTTATGTTCTCAGTGAAGTCAGTGGTGGACTTTAACACTCGGCTGTTTGAAGTCTGGGTATTTTTAACGGTTCTCTCTTTGAGCACCTAGGACTTCGCTTGCTAGTAAGCATGGGCTCTGTCACTGAGCCTCACCCTCAGCTCGGCTCCTCCTTTATGCTGTGTTACTAACAGGGCATTGATGCCCTCTATTCATAGGATTCCCAACCCAGGAAAAGCACTGATTTTAACAACCAGCTGAATAAGACATTAATTTTTTAAAAATTCTTGCTTAAACATGCCCTGCTCTGCAAATTACTCATTAATTAGTTTTTGTTGCTCTTTTAAAATGAATCATAAAGGGTGTGTTGACCACAGGTGAGTTGCTAAGCCCCTCGATTCACATTCTGACAGGAGCAGTCAGTCATGCAGAGGTTCTGTGAGTGCCTCATTAATGCACAGATACTTTAGCTTGGAGATGTTTCTCCATCATGGATGCCACCCACTTGGGGAGAGAGACAGGGACGAAGCAACCTGTTGGCCCTGTGCTTTAGTTTTATGGAGCATCTTCTCATCTTCACCGTGTCTTCTTCCTCGGAACAACTGGGTGTTAATCACAGTTGCCCTGGTACGTGTCGGTTAAGCCATGCCATGGAGGTTCAGTGACTGTTTGCTTGTGAACACTGTCATTTGGCCATGTGCATTCAGCTTGGCAGTGCAAGCCACTGTGCCATTTATTAGGTTGCTGTGAGCTTCCTAGCAGCAGGTCTGCCTGGAGCTGTGCACACGTGGGGCGTGGGGCGGGGAGCTGCTTGCGTCCATGCCTCTGGCCTCTATAGCTGGAACTCAGATGAGATGCAGTTTGGTTGGGACCATAACTCTCTGTAGTCCGTAGGCGCGTCCAGGGGTGCTGTTTCTGTCACTAGACAATGTCCTTGTACCATATGCTGACCACACTGGTGTTTTATAGGCACCATGGCTGTGTGAGCGTTGAATAATAGTGTTTCCGTGTCCGTCCTCTGTCCACTCAGCAAGCCAGCCAGCCTGTCATGTGGTCGTCATGGATACTCACCACATCATTGTGTCTCTGGCATCTCTCTACACTGGGCCATCAAGGGACTGAACTCTGTTAATGAGCCATTTACAAAGATTATCTATCTATCTGCCTGAGCTTGGGAGCAGGGCTGTCCTGTGAGGCCCATGCTGGAAGGGCCTGAGAGAGTCAGTGCTCTGCACAGCTAACTCCCGTGGGACTCTATTCCCAGGCTTCATTTGGTGGTCAGGCCTAGTGGCCAGACAGACTTTCCCAGCATTTCCCTTGACTATAAACATGTACTTTATATTTTATCCTTTGCCTCAGAAGTCAGATCTTTAACATTTTTATGTGGATGAATGTTTTGCTTGCGTGCATATTGTGTACTATGAGTGTACAGTGCCTGCAGAGGTCAGAAGAGGGTGTTGGACCTCTGGGACTGGAGTCACGGATGGTTGAGAACCACCATGTGGGTGCTGGGAACTGAACCCAGGTCCTTGGCAAGAGCAGCCAGTGGCTCCGAACAGCTGAGCCACTGCTCCACCCCCCCAACCACCATTTGGTTTTTGGAGCCAAATTTGTGTTGCCCATTTTCTCGTGTATCCTTCTGAGGTGGGCCATGTGCTTCCAAGCAGAACACCACCCCTCCCTCTTTAAAGTGTGGATGGAGCTGGATGGAATGGTGCATACCTTTAGTCCTAGCACTCTGGAGGCAGAGGCAGGCAGATCTGAGTTCGGGGCCCGCCTGATCAGGAAGTGCAGGCCAGTAAATGGTAGACCTCTACATTACTGTTTTGCATCTTGTTTTTGCCTGGAGAGTAGTCTGTTGAGGTAATTTTGTAAGGCACATCATAGAGCTCACTGTCAGTTTTTGTAACTTTCTAGCATAGCTGATGGGTGGCCTTACCCATGCAGCCCGCCACTCTTGAGATGTGGCCTTTATCAGCCCCTGTAGGTGAGCCCCTCCTTTAGGACTTGCTGGGTCAAAGCAGTGTGCTCCTTCGTGACATTGACAGCACTGCTCTGTACTGAGGGTGTCCCACTTGCTCTATAATAGAGCTCTCTCTCTCTCTCTCTCTCTCTCTCTCTCTGTGTGTGTGTGTGTGTGTGTGTGTGTGTGTGTGTGTATGTATGTCATAGTTCTGAATTCATCAGTCCTGCTTTGCTTTCTGTGGCCATGTATAATAGCCCACTACCTTTATTAATCCCTTTGCTGCCTAGTTCAGATGGTGCTGGAGGCAGAGGTGCCGTGGGCGGAGCACCATGCTGCCGATGAGTCTCAGACCTCATAAAGGGAGCTGGAGCCGCACTTAGTGCTCTTAGCATCGTTCTATGTATCTGGACATATTTCCCAATTTAGTTCTGAAGCACTTGGCATTTGATGGCAGATCGTATTAAGAGGCACATGCCGTGCATTCTAATCAGGGCGAGGGGTGAAGTCATCGCAGGCTAGAATGTGCTGGGCAAGGAGGCTGGCTTGGGCTGCAGTAGCTTATATCATGCTAGAAAATAATTGCTCAAGTCTCTGAGCTAATGACTTCCCCCGTGCAGCCAGGAAGAGACATGGGATTAGTTGTCTGCATTGGCCACAAGGTGAGCTGTCTGTCTGGAGCCTTGGGGGTCAAAGTGTGACTGCAGATGGGCACACTCGGCCACATCTTGCCAGAGCAGAGAGCCAACTTCTCTTTTGATGAGGTTTCCACTTCTGAGAATTGAGACTTGATAAGTCACATGGCAGGACAAATAAGTGAAAATTTGAAAGTGTATAAAATGTGTTCCTATTCTACCCAAAACTTTGTTTTGTTTTGTTTTGTTTTCCGTATTTGATTTTCTTGTTGGGGAGTTGATAGCTAGCTAACTCATGGAGGCTAGTTTTCTGCAAGGAAGAAGGCCCAGCATTGTTACATTCTGTCATATGAGTGAGCCAGTTGCACGGGGCCGGCTGTTGAGGGTCTGATGGGTCCTGGGG